GAGACAATCATCAGATATTGTCCAAGATTAACCTTCAGGGTAGATATAGCTCCCTAGCAGCCTCGTGCCGATGACCTATTCACGTCATCATTTACCCAGAATGCTTTGCGTGTAAATAAAATGTCCCTGTCCGTGTAATATATTTTTAAACTTTTAGTTTAAAAATTATAAAAACTGAACATCCTACAGTATTTTGACAGTTTTTTTTGACAGTTAAAATATATGTTTATCATATAAAGTCTAATGTTACAACTAATCGGGAATCCCTTTAAAAGTTCATAATGTACAGAACATGGTAAAGGTTTGAATCCTCCTCTTTTTATTTTACTTTTAATTCCAAAGACTTCCTTTAATCTTTTAAAAGGCTCTAGATCAATAGTTCCTCTGGATTTCTGAGATCCTGATACATTTTAGAGGAACGTTTAATGTTTGGTTACTCAAAATTGTCCCTATAGTGGGTGAAAGTGTAAGTTGTGTGTCTCTCTGTGATGGACCTGCGACCTGTCCAACGTGTCCTCGGCCTCTCACACAGTCACTGCTAAATTGAAGTGCTGGCAACCCGGAAAGGAACAAAAAGGTAAAGATAATGGTTGGTTGGATGTTTGTGTTTATTTAACTACTCATATCTGACCAGTGAATCATTCAGACACAAAAACAGCTCCTGAACTTGAACCTTAATACTTTGTTGCAAGCAGCTCATCACAAAAACACAATTTGTTCTAATTTTTCTACAGCTGCACCTAAACTTAGCATAAAAGTAAGTAAATTAGTGTTTGGTAGATTATTTCTTTGTTGTAACAGTGCTTCAAGCAATAAACCTTTATATCTTGGGAAAGCCTGGTAATTTCTCTTTTAAATAGTGCCACATTTGTAAGGAACATGCATTTGTGAGATCAGCAGTATATCCGAGTATATGGGTTGTGCACATGAAAAACTGCCAAATCTTCTTTGACAAACAGCTTATTCAGCTTATGCAGCTTATTCTACTAAACACAAATTTACTTACTTTTTGTGGTAAGTATATTTTAAAAAATACCAAAAAAGGTGCAGTTTACCTGTATAAAATAGTATCTTTGCAACAAGATAAAAGCCAAAAATTTGATCAGCTGAAGAATGTTTCACCTCTCTGATCCTGTGTCAGGTCTTTATGGGATTTTTTTTCTTTTCGATTTTCCTTCACAGCTGTCACATAATGTTTCATCCTTTCTTTTCTCTTTACCCACTTCTTCCTATCAGGGTCACAGGGGTCACTGCAACCCATGTCCAACAGTGATAGTGCAAGGTGCGGGGGACAACCTGGACCACCCTGGACAGGTTGCAAATCCATCGCATGAACACACCCTGTTCACCTGCTGTAAACAGTTCCCTCTTTTGTGTCTCAGTTGTTAACTTTCTTCTGTTTTTATAGCAGATTGCCCAGTTCATTGTAGTGCAGATGCGAGGACAGAGCAGAGAATAAGTGGGAAACCCTGAAGAACTTCTGATGAAGTGCAGGCAAGTCTGGGTAAAAGCAGTCCTGTTCAAACATCAAACTCATTCATATAAGGGCTTCCTATGTCCCATGTGAAGCTTTAAATGCAGTCTTGTATGAAGTACCTCAAAGTGATACTTGAGTTAAAGTACAAGTATCTTGCCATAAAATTACTTTGATAAAATTTGAATTTTCTTCTAAGTATATTCTTGAGTAAAAGTCTTAAGGTGCTGTCACGCTATGATGTTTTAGACATCTTATACCAACTTATGAAAAATTTGTCCATCACTAAATATGTCTTAGCTGAAGATGGAATTTAAAAAAATACACTGGAAGCCTCTTTTGGACCTATACTGTAATGCTAATAATTAGATTAAATATGTAGCAGATATGAATAAATAATCTTAACCAAATTTTTATAAGTCTGCATAAATTGTTTAAAATGTCCTAGTGTGACAGGGCCTTTAAAGTATCAAAATTAAATTTCTGATATAAAATGTACTTAAGTACGAAAGGTAAAAGTGAGTGGTTAGAATTTTCAAAATTACATTTATTGGGAGGCGATCTCCCCAAAAACTAAATAAATAAATAAGCATTTTATTTAAAGACCATAATTATTATAATGTTAAAATGCTAATGTTGAAAAGTTGGCGATGCACTGTCTACCAGCATATACACTCACCGGCCACTTTATTAGGTACACCACGCTAGTAATGGGTTGGACCCCCTTTTGCCTTCAGAACTGCCTCAATTCTTCGTGGCATAGATTCAACAAGGTGCTGGAAGCATTCCTCAGAGATTTTGGTCCATATTGACATGATGGCATCACACAGTTGCCGCAGATTTGTCGGCTGCACATCCATGATGTGAATCTCCCGTTCCACCACATCCCAAAGATGCTCTATTGGATTGAGATCTGGTGATTGTGGAGGCCATTTGAGTACAGTGAACTCATTGTCATGTTCAAGAAACCAGTCTGAGATGATTCCAGCTTTATGACATGGCGCATTATCCTGCTGAAAGTAGCCATCAGATGTTGGGTACATTGTGGTCATAAAGGGATGGACATGGTCAGCAACAATAGTCAGGTAGGCTGTGGCGTTGCAACGATGCTCAATTGGTACCAAGGGGCCCAAAGAGTGCCAAGAAAAGATTCCCCACATCATGACACCACCACCACCAGCCTGAACCGTTGATACAAGGCAGGATGGATCCATGCTTTCATGTTGTTGACGCCAAATTCTGACCCTACCATCCGAATGTCGYAGCAGAAATCGAGACTCATCAGACCAGGCAACGTTTTTCCAATCTTCTCTTGTCCAATTTCAATGAGCTTGTGCAAATTGTAGCCTCAGTTTCCTGTTCTTAGCTGAAAGGAGTGGCACCCGGTGTGGTCTTCTGCTGCTGAAACCCATCTGCCTCAAAGTTCGACGTACTGTGCGTTCAGAGATGCTCTTCTGCCTATCTTGGTTGTAACGGGTGGTTATTTGAGTCACTGTTGCCTTTCTATCAGCTCGAACCAGTCTGCCCATTCTCCTCTGACCTCTGGCATCAACAAGGCATTTCCGCCCACAGGACTGCCGCTCACTGGATCTTTTTTCTTTTTCGGACCATTCTCTGTAAACCCTAGAGATGGTTGTGCGTGAAAATCCCAGTAGATCAGCAGTTTCTGAAATACTCAGACCAGCCCTTCGGGCACCAACAACCATGCCACGTTCAAAGGCACTCAAATCACCTTTCTTCCCCATACTGATGCTCGGTTTGAACTGCAGGAGATTGTCTTGACCATGTCTACATGCCTAAATGCACTGAGTTGCCGCCATGTGATTGGCTGATTAGAAATTAAGTGTTAACGAGCAGTTGGACAGGTGTACCTAATAAAGTGGCCGGTGAGTGTATATGTCTGCCACACTCCTCTTCATACTCATCAGATACTGTATGTCCTGCTGAAGTGTGATATAAGTGGGGCTTGCCATGCAATGGCAAATCCAAAACTCTACACCTAGTCACTAGTCTTGGAGTGGAGATGTGTGCTATTCAACAACTTTTTGATTCAAATTACTAATGCGGTGGCCTGGCACTTGCCTTCCTACGCAGCTCCGCTCAATTCTAGTTTCCCTTCACTGCKMCRTMTGGGACTTCTCCCATTGACAAGGATTTCGCTGGCAGATTTTTAGCCGGGCCAATCAGAGAACAGAACGCAGTGTCTGCTTGTAGTTTATTTCACCTGGGCCAATCAGAGACCAGAAGGAGGAGCTTTGAACGAGTCAACTTTCTGTGCAGTGTCTGCTAGTTAGTTTAGCATACGGCAGTGGAGGAAGTGAATGAAGACAGTCCGTGTTGATAAGGCTTCAAAATTAAATTAAATTTGTCCGACAAACCAGCAGCTCTCATTTACAGTCGTCTCGTTCTGCTCGGCATATTTCTCCTCTCAGTAGGGTTATTTACAGCACACGCGATTTCCGATTAGCTTCTTAGCTTAGCCTCCGACACAGCGACATACGTCACAGCCAACTGATCCAATCATTTTAAACTTCAGCAGAGGCCACGCCTCCTGCAAGAAATCGATTCTCTATGCATCAAGTCCAGACCCTTGTACGAAGCAAAGTGAAAGACGGGGTCTGGTTTAAACCAGGCTACTAATGTGGAGAAATTAACGAAAAACCGACCGCTGCACATGTACCGACTTTCGCACACACAGACCAGCAAAGGGTGCAATTAGACCGTTCTTAGGGGTTTCTGGTTTTCCTAGGTCAAGTTTTGGTTTCACTTAGGCACACTTGGGCAAGCCCCTTTTAAATTTCTTCAGAAATGTTCTAGTTTGTAACATACAATCCAACAGAATGATATATTTATACTTCTCATCCAACTACAATTAAATTAATTTTATCTGATGTATGACATCTAATTTTTTCTAAAACAAACAAGCTGAAATGTAACAGGAGTTATGGCTTTTTACTTCTTATAATTCTTTAAATGCAAGGAGTAGAAATAAAAAGATAACCAAAATGTCTACATAAGTAAATAAAGTATTTGTACTTAGTTGCTTTACAACTCTGTTTAAATGTTTGCATCTTCATCCAGAGTTAGAACCGTGACCTTGTCCTCCCTGTTCATAACCTCCTCCTCACGTGACCCCTCTCACAAACACACCCTGCAGTCTGGGCTCCTCGGACCGAGGCACAGTACTGGGCTGATCCAGCAGGTGGCAGCAGTCAGCCGCTCTCTCCTCAGCACCAGCAGCATCACTGCGGCAGGTAGAGCTGGAACAAAATGTTCATTTTTCGCAGAGAAAAGATGAAAGCTTCTTGCTGAATATTGTTTCATCTGATCTGCCGGGGCACATTTGATCACATATAATTACTTTTATTGACAAAAACATATTTTAGTATCTGTGATGTTAGTGTCTCACCACTGTGTGGAGATGCTGCTTGTTCCACATCCCTCTTTTTTTTTTTTACTGTACCTCTAATTTTAGCCTCTTCTGACTCTTTCTTTGTCTCCCCCTCTTTCAGCCCCTCCCTTCTCTGATCCCCTTGAATAGAAGCTGAGAATAGATGAGGAATGCCTATATATGGAGCTTTACACCAGGCTCAGCGTCTCACAGGTACATCAGCAAATGTGGGCTACTGTGATTTGTAAAGAAGTGTTTGAGGGGAGGGGGGGCTATCTTCTACTATTGTGTGTTTGTGTTTGTGTGTGTGTGTGTGTGTGTTTGTGTGTGTGTGTGTGTGTGTGTGTGTGTGTGTGTGTGTGTGTGTGTGTGTGTGTGTGTGTGGTCTTATCTCAGCAGCAGGTCAGAGATGGAGATCTG